GAAACCTAAAGATTCTACCAAAAAACTCCTAGAACTGATAAACAAACTCAGTAAAGTCGCAGGATACAAAATTGACATACAAAAATTAGTATAGCATTTCTTTTTTTTTCTTCTTGGTCTTTTTTCGTGTCCGGCAACGGATCGCAACCCTCAGTGTCGCGCCCGTACCGGACCAGGACCGGCAACGGGATCGCAACCCTCGGTGTTGCGCCCGCACCTCGCTCAGCCAGTGAGCGGGAACCGGTCTGTATGTGAGATCCGAACCCTCGGCGGGAGCACCGCCACGCTCCCAAGCGGCGCACTGTAGCAGTGTGCCACCAGGCCGGCCCAGTATAGCATTTCTATGCACCAACAAGAAGGCTTGGCTGGTTAGCTCAGTTGGTTAGAGTAACAGCCTTATAACACCAAGGTCACAGATTTAGATATTTGTACCAGCCAGCTGCCCAAAACAAACAAACCAAAAACTCTGGAACCTCTATACACCAACAACAAACTAGCAGAAAAAGGAAATCAAGAAAGCTATCCCATTTACAATAGCAAAACAAAAAACAACAACAACAAAAAACACACTGATTAAAGAAGACACACAAAGAAATGGAAAGACATACTGTGCTCATGGGTTGGAAGAATCAATAATATCATCAAAATGACCATACTACCCAAATCAGTCTATACAATCCCCATCAAGCTACCAATGACATACTTCAAAGATATAGAAAAACGATTCAAAAATTTATATGGAACAACAAGAACCCTAGATAACCAAAGCAACCCTGAGCAAAAAGAACAAAGTGGGGGTATCACACTCCCTGCCTTCAAAATATACTACGAAGCAACAATAATCAAAACAGCATGGTACTGGCAGAAAAAGAGACTCCTAGACCGCCACGCTCCCAAGCGGCGCAGTGTAGCAGTGCGCCACCAGGCCGGCCCAGTATAGCATTTCTATGCACCAACAAGAAGGCTTGGCTGGGTAGCTCAGTTGGTTAGAGTAACAGCCTTATAACACCAAGGTCACAGATTTAGATATTTGTACCAGCCAGCTGCCCAAAACAAACAAACAAACAAACCAAAAACTCTGGAACCTCTATACACCAACAACAAACTAGCAGAAAAAGGAAATCAAGAAAGCTATCCCATTTACAATAGCAAAACAAAAAACAACAACAAAAAAAAACACACTGATTAAAGAAGACACACAAAGAAATGGAAAGACATACTGTGCTCATGGGTTGGAAGAATCAATAATATCATCAAAATGACCATACTACCCAAATCAGTCTATACAATCCCCATCAAGCTACCAATGACATACTTCAAAGATATAGAAAAACGATTCAAAAATTTATATGGAACAACAAGAACCCTAGATAACCAAAGCAACCCTGAGCAAAAAGAACAAAGTGGGGGTATCACACTCCCTGCCTTCAAAATATACTACAAAGCAACAATAATCAAAACAGCATGGTACTGGCAGAAAAAGATACTCCTAGATCAATGGAACAGAAGAAAGAACCCAGAAATCAACCCACATACTTACAGCCAACTGATCTCCAACAGACACCAAGAACATACACGGGGAAAAATACCACCTCTTCAATAAATGGCACTTGGAAAACTGGACACCCATACGTAGAAGAAAGAAACTAGATGCATACTTCTCACCATATACCTAAATCAACTAAAAATGGATTAAAGACTTAAACGTAAGACCTGAAATTGTAAAACTCCTAAAAGAAAACATAGGGAAATACTTCAGGCAGTAAGACTGGGCAGAATTTACGAGTATGACCCCCAAAGCACAGGCAACAAAATTAACAAAAGGAAAAATAAACAAATGGGATTCTATGAAACTAAAAAGCTTCTGCACAGAAAAATAAACAATTAACAGAGAAAAAAGACAACCTACAAAGTCAGAGAAAATATTTGCAAACTGTGCATCTAACAAAGGATTAACATCCAGAATGTACAAGGAACTCAAACAGCTCAACAGTGAAAAGCCAAATAACCCAGTTAAAAAAATGGGCAAAGAAACTGAATAGACATTTCTCAAAGGAAGATATATGAATGGCCAATAGACACATGAACAAATGCTCAGCATCACTCAACATCAGGGAAATGCAAACCAAAACCACAGTGAGATATCATTTCACCACAGTTAGACTGGCTGTTACCAAAAGACAGAAATGCTGGTGAGGATGGGAAGAAAGCAGAACCCTCCTACACTGTTGGTGGGACTGTAAATTGGTGCAGCCATTAGGAAAAATGGTATGGAGGTTCCTTAGACAACTACAGATAGAACTGCCATATGATACAGCAATCCCACTGCTGACTATATACTCAAAGGAATGG